CTAGTGTGCAGCCTGTTTCTGAACAGTCTGTGAATTAAGCATGAGCTTTTGCATTCTAAGTGGTTGTAATCAATGAAATTAAGGTTTCCTGGTGCATAAAATTTACATAAAATTAAAATTGTAGTGTCTCTACAATTTTATTGGCCCTCACCCCCACTTGCATGATCTGCCTGACTATTTTTCCAATTGAGACAGCTGCACTTCTGATCTCTGCTCAACTTCCAGTGGCCACTCTAGTTCTCTGGCTCATCCTCAGAATATCCAAGCTACTTGTGATCTAGTCACTACCCTGAGCCTCTTCCTCCTTCACTTCTTCCAGTACTATGCACAGATATAAGGGAATTGGAAGAATCTGTTCCTTTGTCTCAATCATTCTGTGTCCCCTCCTTAATTTGAGTGCTTTTCATTATTATTGTCCCTGACTTGTTGCAGATTTGCATATTGTCCTATTCCACCAAGCACAATCAAAATATGCATTCCAGGAGAGCTGAAATATTTCTTTATTTCTTGCTGCATTCACAGATCTTAGACACAGTAGATAACAAATGCCTGCTAAAAATTAATGAATTATCAAATGTTGGGAAGTTGCAATGAGAGGTGCAGAAGAGCCTTTATGGGTTAGGACATCTCAAACAGCCAAGGTTTTCAGGATGCTGAAGATGTCTCAGGATGACTTTGATCTATAATGCTCTAGTATTTTAGTAAGACTATAAGAACAAGAAGTGAGAGAGACATAAGTGGATTTGCCACCATAAAAACAAGCTGAGCAGAAATGCTCCATTTTAGCAGTCTCCTTTCATCCCAATTCATTCCCAAGTATGCTGAACTCCCACCTTCTGCTCATCTCACATGATGAAATGAGTTCTCTTGGATGGAGAGATGGCTCAGTGGTTAGGAGTATTTGTTGATGTTTCAAAGAAAAGTTTGCATTACCCAAGTTAGGTGGTTAACAACTGCTGATGACTCTAGATCTAGATATAGTGCTCTCCTCTGGCCTCTGCAGGTACTCACACTCATATGCACATACACCCACACAAATAACCTTAAAATAAAACAAGTTCCTAAGAAAAAGGAATTTGGCCTAGATATTGCTCAGAAACAATTTTACTGTCCTTTATATCTCCATTTCTCTACTGCCTTTGTCCAACTGTGGGAATACTTGTGTCTGAGAGCTCCAGATCCTTTTACAGAGAGTTCTTTATGGAATACTTTGTATATACAAATACCTTGTTTTTATTTCACAAGTTATCTTTGTGACATGTTTGTGGCAACATTTTATTCACAGGTGTTAAGTCAGGATTTTTCAATTAAAAGTGAGTCATACAAGGAAGTATTATACACAGATGTAAGAAGAGAGAGTTCCATTGTATCTTGGGCACACAATATGCTAGTAATATAAAAGACACAACTGAATTCATAGTGAGACAGAAAAATCAGACATGAGTTCACTGGATCATCTAATTAACAACAAAGCCAGGAGACTCCTGTGTATAACTTTGTGCACGAGAATGGGGCAGGTAGGAGGAATGGGTTTGCTTTCTGCAATTTAAGATGGAAGATGAGCATCAGCCTTTTCCATGTAAGTTACCTCCTAGACAACTTCAAGAGAACTCAAATGGCATGAAGGCAATGAAGTCTTGTGAGCCATGTGGATTTGAGACTTATTCTAATCCTATATAGCACTGAATAACTCCATCAGCTAGTGATGCCCTTCTTCTGTAGATATTACAAGCACAGTGACTAAAATGATAGTATAGAGTAAAGCTGAAGAAGAGACTCTTCAAAGAGTTTTGAAAGCTACCATGACCTAGAATTGTTTGTCTTTTACTATACTGACAGGTCTTCATAGCACCAGGAAGAGATGTATACAGAAGCTAATTTCATCTAATATCTTATAATGACTCCCAACATATCTGATGACAACAATTATTTGTTAGATCAGCCGGAAATCATGCTGTCTAAAAGGCCATGGTGAATGGCAACAGCATAAGGCTGTTGGTAATAATTACTAAGTGTCTAGAGGATAGACTATTGTGATTAGATATATAACGTAGACTATTGTGAAGTGCATACCTTGAGAAACTATCTCTGCTCATCTCAAGTATATAAAAAGCTTGAGAAACTTGAAAATAAATCCGACACCTAGTTATTTTATCCTTTAAATTAGAAACAAGCTTGTTTTACATGTCAATCCCAGTTCCCTCTCCCTCTCCTCCTCCCCTGTCCCCCACTGGCCCCCTATCCCATTCCCTTTCTGCTCACCAGGGAGGTGAGACCTTTCATGGAATCATCAAAGTCTGTCAAATCATTTGGAGTAGGGCCTAGACCCTCCCCTGTGTGACTAGGCTGAGAAAGTATTCCTGTATGTGGAATGGGCTCCCAAAGTCCATTTGTATACTAATCACCTAGTTTTTAATTAATTTTTTAAAAGTTTATTTCTGTGTATGGGTACTTATTTCTGAATGCATGTATGTTCACCACATGTGTGCCTGGCATGCATGAGGTCAGAAGACATCGGATCCCCTGGAACTGGTGTTATGGATGGTTGTGAGCCACTGGGAACTGATCCAGGGGTCTTTTGTAAAAGCAAGAAGTGCTCTTAACCACTGAGCCATCTCCCCACATCTTTGTTTGTAAAGAAAATGTTAATATTTCTGAAAAGATTTTCCTCAGCTCATATGTCCCAAGCATAAGCTGCAACTAGGAAAATCAGGATGTCTTTCATTCAAATGGCATTAAGCAAATTTCATGCAAATAGCATTGTTCTAGGGGGTAGTAGCCATTTCCATGCTTATAGTTGAAAAAATGTTCACAGATTCATAGATGTTTACCATAGTCAGTGCCTAAACTGAAAAAAAAATTTAAAAAGCAGGACAATTCTCTAAGCTAAGAGGTAAAGTTCAGATCAGGGGCGGGGGAGGGGACACCCTGGAAATAGATTTGGCATCAGAGCCAATTTGGAAGATATGTGGTCAGAAAAGGGAAAGTGGAGAAAAGCATGTTCTCAAACACAAAATACTGAGGAGGGCCATGACAATTTTGTATAACAAGTGACATATACTTATATCTAAATAAAAAACTAATCAAGTACCAGTGTCCTAAACCATTACTCCCCTGAATATGATTATATGCTGAGTTTCAATTGAAACAAGAAAACACAAATGTTCAGAAATAGATTTCTAGCCAGGGCAGTGGTGGTGCATGCCTTTAAACCCAGCACTGGGGAGGCAGTGGAAGGTGGATCTCAGAGTTCAAGGCCACCCTGGGCTACAGAGTGAGTTCCAGGACAGCCATAGCAGTTACATAGAGAAACACTGTCTCGAAAAACAATAACAAAAATACATTTGATTTTGTTTGCTTTTAAATAGATGGAGAGGTGGAAGAGAATACATAAACCAAAATGATGTATGTCATTATGTTTCACCATCCAGTCGTGTGGATCTCCAAACTTCTATTTAACTACAGCCAGCACTTTCCTTCATACAAGAAACAATCTAATTTAGGTGGGAGCTGGGTCACTGCATGTAGCTTCCTTGTTCAAAGGGAAAGTAGGATATGTAAGAGAAACATTGAGAGGAATGTTAGTAAACACAGCCTGCACATCTGCCATCTGTTAGAGCATGTTTTCTGTCACATAAAAATTCAGTCACTTTCTTCCATTGCCCATTCAAGAAATTTAAATGGGAGAAATAAATTCAAAACAGATAAAACTTCACTGTGCTCAGGACACCAAGAGGGTTCTAGTAGCTGTGTCTATAAAAGAGTAAATTCCAAACATTGAAAATTTCACTGGGGAATAGGGTGAAGACTAGTGTTAAGTAGAATGCTGTTGCATTGTGCTAGGATAGGAAGGTTTCTTGCCTATCAGCCTGAACCTTTCAAGCTTTGCAAGTCCCAAAAGTACGTGGCAGAAAGGACAGTCCTCAGCTGTACCTGACTGCCACCAGCCTTGATGTTGGCTCTCCATCTCAGGCTGCAGGTGAAAGGAAATTCACTTTTGAGTATAGGTAGCAGGGTGAAAACTGTGAACAGATTCCCAGTGCCAGCAGCTCTTTAGTCTTGTCCTAGGAAACTTGGGTGCAGGTTTATTACCTGTTTATGGACTACATGTGTGTGGTGCTTCCCCTGTAAACTAGTCCACATCCTTAGGAACTAATTTTCCCCTCCGGGGGGCGATATACCCCCTATTGAAAATTTGTGCTACAAAACTCAAGCTCACATCTGATTTCTGTCTGATCATAGCCAGAACTTTCTAAATCAGTTATGATTTAGTAGCACTCCAGTCAAAACGATTACATCTGCGTCCTTTTCAAAACTAAAAAAGGCTTTTAAAAATACCAAAAATTGAGTGACAATGTTCTTCTGGCTGTCAGTGGCACCCTAGGTCATCCTTTTTACACTGTTCTCAATTCCTTGGGCTGCCCTGATGCTTGCTCATAGAACCAAAGATTTGCCAACTGCTTAATTTTATACACATTTCCAAAAGGAGAGGCACAAAAACAAAACAGACTCTAAGAAGACTCCTTTTCCTGGATGGTAGCGATTGGTAATTTGCAGAACGAGACAGAAAACATCCATGAAAAGCACTGTGATTTTCAATTTACAGAAGAAATTACTCAACCTTGCTGCCCACAACCAACCTAAAAACCACTGGCCCACAAAGCTGTGTGTGTCCTAAAGACAAATCACAGCTTCATCGGAAAAATCACTGTGCCATCAACAGGCACAACTGGGAGCAAACGTTCCCATGCCAAAAGTTTCCAGAATGCTTGTGTTCTATTCCCATTCCAAATACACACAATACATAAAAAACAATCATACAAATTTTCATACTCTCATGGCAAGAAAATTATTAAGCCCAGGAAATACAGCAGTCACTAATTCACACAGGCTAAGAGTAGGCTGGGCTTTGATATTGCTTCAACAACAGTGAGGGCAAAGGACTTTTTTTCTGCGAAAACCAATAAAAAGGAACATTATGAAAAATCGAGCTCACCTACCTTCACTGGTCCATGTTCACTATTGAAGCCCTGCACCAGGTATACGTAGGCCATCATGAGAACATTCACCACTGCCCACTCTCTATACATTTTTGAATACTTTAAATGTCCACTGATGACTAAGCAGCTCACACCAAGCAGCTACTGAAAAGTGTTGCAAAAGGCATTCTCCGGAAGCAAAGTTCGAAACCCCAAAACTTTACATGGAAAATCACATGATCACTTGTAATCAAAATCCAATGAAATGAGTTGAGTTAGTCAAGGGACACCCCCTGCCACACACAATTTTCGTATGGGAGAAAGATGAAAAAAATGTAAAGTTCCTGCTGCCAAAACTAATCAGGAAGTGGCCATGTCTTCCACTTTAAGCTAGAAATCACTCTACAGTCATTTCGTGACCAAAAAGTTGAAAGAAAACAATCCCCACTCTATGTCCTAGGTTCTAGCTGCTTTATAAGGAGATGGTGTGACCACCGGCACTTGCAGTTACAGCAGGCTGGAACCTAACTATGGAGTAAAACGTTTTCACAATCTTGAAGGAAGCATGCAGGAGCATGTGTCTGAAATCTGACACAGACTTTGGCAGAAAATTACGGGGAAGTCTTGGCTGGAATCCCGCTGAGTCCCTAGCAATAGCAAAGCAGTTTTAAAAACTGTCTCACATGGTCAGGGCTGCTGGGTTTTTAAAAGCAGATAACCTGTAACATGAAACCCAGAACACAGTTCTGGTTGCTGGGACAGCATCAGAATTGCAGTAGGGCAGTTGAAGATGCTCAGATAGCTGCTGCCAGTGACACAGAAAGCAATTAAAAATGATCTAAGAAAACCCCAAAGGGAGTGGGTGGGGGTGTCAGTGGGGGGCATGGGAGGATGGGAGAGCGAGGGAGTGGGGGAATTGATATGTTAAGTAAGATTATTTCCAAAATAAAAAGAAAACCCCAAAGGGCAGAGAATAAAAGGGCATCTTCTCATATATAAAAAGCACATGTACATAAGCAATTATTTTAATAGGAGCTTAATAATTTCCACCGAAATGAAGAACATTGATTTTTCAAAGAAGCAACAATTAGAATTATTTGCATATATTCCTACCACTTTTTATTGTTTATACTTTTCCTTTTTAAAATAGTTAAATCTGTTCTTTCACAATTTCATACATGTACATAATGCATTCTGATGACTCACTACAAATCCATATTTTCGTATTAATGTGGAATTCTTTTTTTTTATTTTTGGGTTTTCAAGATAGGATTTCTCTGTGTAGCTCTGGCTATACTGGAACTCAACAGTGGACCAGGCTGACCTTGAACTCAAAGATCTGACTGTCTCTGCCTCCTAACAGCTGGAATTAAAGCGTGTGCCACCACCACTATGCTTAATGTAAAATTCTTTAGAAGAACCAGCTAAGCCAGCTTTGGAAATTGAATATACTGAATGGTCAGTCCATCCAAATGGCAGAATTTCAGCTCTTCATTAGTTTCCAATCTTTGACTTCCAGGTTTTGGCCCCCTCGAAACCATTTTTTGCATTCCTGAAATCAAGAATGGCCTCAGAAATTTCTTCATTGGTATTCATCACAAAGGGACCTAGGGGAGAAAGAGACATTTACAAAGTGCTGGGTGATATATATAACATTTTCTTCTATCACTGGAAGTGGTATGTATTACTATAGCTCCTCATTTGAAACAAACTCTAGGCCTATCTGGACAACAATAGTCTCTTTTCACAGCATTCAATCCTACAGGACTATGATTTGAGTTTTGTGGCTAGGACATTATAATTATAAGTTATCATACAGACCAAACTTAGACAAACACGATTAGGTCTCACTGTTCACTGCAGGTTCCTTGCTAGTGACGACAATCCCTTTATTCACAACATTCATTGCAGTTGTTATTCGTACAACAGGACCTGAACCAACCTGGTATTATGAATCAGCTAGATCCTAGCATAGTTTTGGTGTCTGTCTAAGCAGTGGGTGGGGCTGTGCACTTCTGGGGTGGTTCTAAGGCTGTTTCGAAAACTAGTAGCATTTCCTTGACAACAAACGGGGTTTAATTGCTTTTGAACAGCTTGTACATTAACAGTTCTTTTGCAGTTCCCCAGTAGATACCTCCATGTACTCTACAGCAACCACAGAGAAGGTCAGGTTTTGAAGTTTAACTAGTTTCTCCTTCCTGTCACAATTCACTATTATGTGCTTGCAATGAAAGGTATTTTTATCTTCCTGTAAACTTTTCTGTTTATGCTTCTATTGATTTTTCTTTCATTTTGATCATAATTTCTTATTCACCCACCACCCTGAAAGATACATCATGCTAGTGTGACCATCCTCTTGCCAAGGACTACCAGCACCACATCTTTAATAAATTTTACTAGTAAATTTCATGTCAAGGAGAGCCTTTTAAAAATTATTTATTAGGGCCAACTGATTTTTTTATTCAGCAAGGGGCCAGGGAATGTACACTTTAGATTTTATGGGTCAAAGAGATCAAATACTGGGTCAAAGACAGACTTGATATACAATGATTTTCCTATGGTTTCCCCAAGCAAGCCCCACCACTCATACACCTCATCTCCTTTTCTGTAGTACATTTCTATACTCTATTTTCGAAACCATCCCATGTCTATCAGTTTTATAAACTGTCCTTGGGTTACCAAAGACATTATGGGCAAAGGGGGATGCCTTGAGTGAATGTGTATTATTGACAAGGACCCATGTCTCCAACTCATGGAAACTGGAAGAACCTTCCTTAAGTCAGGCTCAGGAAATTGGCAAGTCTTCCTCTGGTTTGTGTGAGGACCCAGCAGTGTATGCAAAAATTGACAACCAGAGCTTCCTCATCCTGGTTGACCTGAGACTGCTCCCCTACAGAGGCCTCCCAGGGGTGAGCTGACACCTCCTCTGTGCTGTACATAATTACCTTGCTGAAGTTCTGGGTTAGTAGATCTCCATCAGATCAGTACAGGTCACCCAGTTCCCACATTCTGCATGTGATCTATCTTTTCATCATTCCCTTGTCACCCAGGTCAGGTTTTCAGGGTGTTTTGAAGATTAAACAAATTAACAACTTGAAAAACACTCAGACCAATACTTAGTAAATAGTAAATGCTATGAAAATATATGTTAAGAAAATGAAATAGCTGCATTTTCCTCATTTGTAGGAAGGACGTAACTCCACCAGAGTTAATGTTGTTTTCTAATCCAACATGCTGTGACATCTTTCCCTAATGTCATCATTAAGAACACTCAAAGACAAGAGGAGAGGGTCGTTAATAATTTACAAAAACACAACCAGTCCCCAAATACTCTCAAATACTCTGCCTTTGAACAAGAAAAGCTAAAAAACTTTTAAAAATGTAAACTAACCAAACCAAACAAAATGCTTTGTCTCTCAGTAACTGACAGTTCAAGAGGCATATATCTATTTTGTCTGATTAATGTGGGTTTGTGTTTATAAGCAGACCCAGTGTCTCCTCTCCGAGGTACGGAAAGAGGATTTATGAACACTGTGCTTAGCATTTTGCTTGCCATCTTCATTCAAATGGGCTCTTGTTTCTCATTGCTTCTATGGAGGAAAGAGCCTAACATAAAGGGTTTTCATCCCAAAACTCTTTTCCTACGCAAATTCCAGTCTATGACTCAATGATGACACTACTCCATTTGTTTGTAGCTTTCTTTGCCAAAGAACAATTTTATTGAGTCACGACTAAAGGAAGAAGGGATTAGGAACTTTGGGAGTGAAATTTTGAAGTGTGCAAAATTAACGTGAGATGTCGCAATCTAGGGGCATATGATTTAATATTCCCCCCTAAATTACTGCTAGAACAAAAATTGATATTTTCTAAATATTCAGTGTTATTTAAATTTATGACTAGCTGGGGATTATATGAGATCATTGTGTATGCCTGGGAATTCATGCCAAGTAATGGAATACAAAGAGGTCTTAAATCATGTCTAATTTAATAATTAGTGAATTCCATAGTATGTTTTTTCAGACAAAGGTATAAATAACAAGTTGGTTGGATTCTAGGTGATTTTAGGTGTTTCTCATTTAATCAAATGTCAATGGCACAAGGACATCAAGATCCAAAGTGATTGTGTACCTATGCCAGCATTTTCTTCCTTCAACTACAGTACTACCTCTAATATACAATAATTATTTATTTTCCTTTAAAAATTAGTTATATTTTTAAGTGTGTGTGTATGCGCGCATGCACACGAGCATGCATGTGCAGATGCCCAAGGAGGCCAGAAGAGGACATTAGATTTTCTGGAGCTGGGAGCTAAGTTTGAGTCCTCTGCAAGTGCAGCATGTATCGCTGAGCCATCTTTCCAGCCCCCCTTTATTCGTTTTTTAGTTAAATGAAGAAAGGTTTAAACTACTAAAGACATTTTCAGAGAAGTACTATTCCTAAGAGTCTCATATTTTTCACTAAAAATATAATTGATTACAAGGACGGTGTTGGCTATGATTTGAATATTGATTTCCCTCTCCACAACTCATATTGAAATTTGATTGTCCTTGAGCAGTATTGGGAAGTGGGATCATTAAAGGGCAATTAGGTCATGAAGATGAGGTAATAGCTTTTCCAGTGGGTGAGTTCTCTTGTAATTTTTTTGGTGCCGGGAGAAACTGGCTTAATTATCACAGCAACAGATTTTCATGAAGTATATCCACCCCTCAAGTTTTGTCTCTCCAGAATATACCCATTTGCCTTTATACTTTCTGCTAAGAGTTAAAACATCATGAGGCCTTTCACACAGACACACACACACACACAGACACACACACACACACACACACACCTTGTTGTATTTCCAACCCTCCAGCGATGTCTGCCAAAATAAATTCCCTTTCTTTATAAGTTACTCAGTCTCATGTATTCTGTTATAGCAACATAAAACAGTAATTAAACCACTGTTATGTTTACTAAATGATATTCAAGTTCCTAGTGGACAAAGAAGTCCTTTTCCCTTCAAGTTGAAATCCCTTATGACAAAATCAAAAACAGTTTTCATTCTTCCAACAGATCTAAGATCAATGTATTACACATCATAGGTATTTAGAAAATGTCTCCTTTCAAAAAAGAGATGAATGTAGACATAAACACGATGTACATATTTACTTCTGACAATGGGGAAATGAAACTCACTCTGACTTCCTGATAATACTACACAAACACACACACATACAAACATGTCTAAGGAAAAGAATGTCAGCCAGGAAAACCATCATCATTTTGGACTTACCATGTTGGACAACTGGTTCTCTTAATGGCTCCCCAGCAATTAAGACAAAATGGCTTATTTGGGGGTCCTAAAGTAATGAAAGAAAGCATCATACAGTGAACATATTTAGTTTTGAATGTCAAATGGGACACAAGTTATAGTTAACAGAGAAGTTAATTGGATGGTGCTACAGAAATATTTCCTCTGTAGTCCTTGATATTGGAATATCTATTCCTTAGGATGGTTAACATCCTAGCAACTAGAATTCAGCATTAAGTTCAGGCTACCAATGTATTAACATCTGCAAACTAAAGAAGGAAAATTGTAAATTAATGTCCTCTTTGTGTTTGGGTACGTATGTATGGGTATGCAGGACCACATGTGTGTGTATGTGTGTGGAGGCCAGAGATCTTTGTCAAGTGTCTTCCTCAATAACTCTCCACCTTATTTTTGGAAACAGAGTCCTTAATTGAAATCAGAGCTCACCCCTTGCCTAGACTGCCAGCACAGTCCAGGGATCTACCTGTTTTGGCTTACCTCCCGCAGAGAGCTACAGATGTGTGCTATCACACCTAATCTTTTACACGGGTGCTTGGGAAACCACAATCAGGTTGTCATTGTTGTGAATAAGGCAATTCACTCATTGAGCCATCTCCTCAGTTCCAAAGTTATGATCTTCCTTAACAGAAACACTTTCACAACAGACTGTCTTAACGAACTAGCAGCTTTCTCATTAACAAAACCATCTTTTAAAAATTGTATTACCTTTCCTTTTGATTTTAAAAACAATATATTTTGGTCATCTTGTGTTGGCCAACTAATCCTGAGCATTGGAGCCTGGCCTAGAGTGTGGTTGAAATACCCAGTATCACTTCATTGAAGAAAACTGATTTTTCCCCTCTTTCAGTAGCTATCAACTGCAAGTAGGTTCTTGGTTAGTAGTGAGACTTTGTGTCCAATTTCTCCTTCCCATGCTGGGATCTGTCCAGTTAAAACATGTGCAGATTATGTGAGTGCTGTCACAGCCTCTGTGAGTTCATATGCATATCAGTCCTATTGTGTCTGGAAAATACTGTTATCTTGAAGTCCTTCACCAAATCAGGCTCTTACTAGCTTTCCAACTCTTCTGCAACAATATGCTTACATACTTTTAATTAATTTATTAATTAATTAATTGTATAGCTGTTTTACCTACATGTATATCTGTGTCACATGTGTGTCTAGAGCTCAAGGAGGCTAGAAGAGGGTGTCAGATACCCCAGGACTGCTTACAGACAGTTGGGTGCTACAATGTGGGTGCTGGGAATCTAATCTGATTCCCTTTGAAGAGTAGTCAGTGCTCTTAACTGCTGAGGCCAACCAACAATATAATTTTTAAATGGAAATAGTACTTATACAAATCAAAATGCAAGACTTTACTGCCTTGGCATTTATTAAAGTAATATGGAATGTGCCTGAGCACATTTAAAATAAAATAAATATAAATATATAAATATAAAATGTATATGTGTATATATGAATACAATGTTTGGAGAATTGTTTTTATCATCAATGGAGTTTTGGTTTAAAATCATATGATCATTCCATTATAAAAAATTGAATATTTTTGAAATAACTGCCATGCTATGTTCCTGCAATGATAATGGTAGTAAGTAGTGAATGGCAGTCTGCGGTATTGGTAGGTTCCAGATTGTCCTCATTCTGCTCCATGCCATTCCCAGTTCTTCCTGATTCCTAACCCTTATAAGCAAAGTATCCCGAGACCTACTTTCAAACTGCTGGCTACAGAACTCCAGTCTTCTCAATCAGCTTCCCCTTTGTGGCCTCATTTTAGATATGCTTAACTTTCTAGACTTACTGGATTAGTGGCTTCTCTGGTTTCATAAATTTCTGTTTTTATGCCCTCAGTTTCCTAGCACCTCCTACTTGCCAACCCTCCCTCTTGGAAGGAGCTTTCTTGTGAGGGCCACATGGACAGGCATCCTGAGCTAGCCCAGCAAAGAGGCTGCACACAGGAGAACTGTATCCATAAACAACAGCTCCAGTCAAGCCCAGCCTCCAGCCTGTTGGCCACATGGGACACCCTGGAGAAGCCATCATCCATGATGATCAGAAACTGGAAATTTATTTTAATACACTAGTTACTAAAGTGGTTTCTCACCAATAGATAATTGAGCCTTGCATATTTTTTTCTTGAGTTTTCTCTCAGGCCTATCTAAAAACCAAATTACTATATATTATAAAACTAAATTTTCTAAAACTTCACTCATATTCTAACAATATAGCATTTTTCTAAATATGCAATACTATCTTAAATTATACCAAATATTTATACATTTCTACTAATGCAGAGCTCTAGTATCTTATATCAAATATTTATGTACTTCTACTAATGTTAAGTTCTTGAACTTGAGATCATTCCAATGCCTAGTCTCAGAAGATTTACCATGGGATTCAACAAAATTAATAATTGACCCTTTCTTCTTCTGTAAATTTAATAAATAAAACCTGCAATATTTGAGAGGTCTGAAATGTGTTTCTCCTTTTGGCTTCAATTAAAAAATTAATAACTAGGCAATGGGGGTGCATGCCTTTAATTCCTTTGAAGGCAGAGGCAGGTGGATCTCTGTGAGTTTGAGGCCAGAGTAGTCTACAGAGTGAGATCTAGGACAGCCAGGGATACGCAGAGAAACCCTGTTTAGAAAAACCCAATAATGATAATAATAATAATAATTTTTAAAAAGTAAATTAAGTAAGAATGCATGATAGAATGGGTTCTTCAAAAGTTTTCTTTCCTTTTATTTTATTTTTAAATTTAAGTTAGAAACAAGCTTGTTTCACATGTCAATCCCAGCTCCCTCTCCCTCCCCTCCTCCCACAAGTCCCCCTATCCCCTCCCTCCCTTTTTTCAGTGTGATATTTAAATGGCTAAGACCTCAATACTAACAACTCATTATCACAAAGGTTTTATTCTCTGAGGGGTTTGGAGAAAAAGAGACACGGGAAAGAGAATACTACAACAGTATTTTGCTTTGTTTCTATTCGCCATGACGGAGGTGACAAACTTGAGCGGAGGGTCATGAAGTGGAAGAGAAAGGGTTAATGAGCAGAGAAGAAAGACTGGCCTGTATGTCTTGTACACTCTGACAGCTCAGAATGGAAGTTTCCTAATCAGAAGAGAGGTCTCTGGAGAGTAGTAAACATGCCCTGTTTCCACACTGTGGAATGAGAAAGTGCTAAAAGCAAAAGCTTTGCTTTTATATCACTCAAATAAGAGGATGACTTTCCAATTATTATTTGGACAGCCAGATAAAAGAACACGTGCATTTTCTCTAAAACAAGAAGTTATGAACCTTTTAGGTGTTAAAGAGAAGATTCCCATCATTGTAAAACCCTGGCGGTTTCTGCTCCAAACTTCTTTTCGTGACTTTCCTACAGATTTACCATCTGGGTGGCCCTTTCTTTAATCTAAGACAGATCTATTTTCTGCCTCTTGCTTTTAAAAAATTCTTACGTTGTTTATGTATTGTGTGCATGGGGGATGCATGCATAGTGTGGTATGTATGTCGAGAACAAAGCACAAAATCTTTTCTTTCTTTTTATATTTTTTGAGCCACGACAACAAAAAATTCAATGTAATTCTGTTTCAGAGGCCAGAAGGTACACCTATATCTCACCACATTGCTTATTGCAGACACGGGGATACACCCTCTACAAAGGGCATTCTGACATTATTTATTTATTTTTACTGAGCTATACATTTTTCCCCACTCCCCTTCCCTCCTCCCTTCTTCCCTTCCACCCTTTCCTCTGCCCCCCATGCTCCCAATTTACTCAGGAGAGTTTGTCTTTTTCCCTTCTCTAGGCAGATCCATGCATGTCTCCCATAACTCTTTCTTACCTAGGCTCTCTGGGGTTGTGACCTGTATGCTGGTGTCCTTTGCCTTATGTCTAATATCCACCTATGAGTGAGTACATATTATATTTGTCTTTCTGGGTCTGGATTACCTTACTTAGGAGAGCCTTTTCTAGTTCTGTCCATTTGCCTGCAAATTTCAAGATGACATTTTTTTGTTTGTGGTTTTTGTTGTTTTTTTTCCACTGAAAAGTACTCCATTGTGTAAATGTATCATATTTTCCTTATCCATTCTCTGGTTGAGAGGCATCTAGGTTGTTCCCAAGTTCTGGCTATTACAAATAACAAAGCACACAGTCTGATAGTTGGTTCTCTTCCTTCACTGGGTATTGAACTCAGGTTAGCAGGCTTGGCAGTAAGAACCTTTCCCACTGACACCCCTCACCCCATCTCCTTGTTTTTCATTTGTTAACTAGCTTTTAGTAAAAACCCAATCACATCTATAGCTACTTAGTAGCATGTTAATGTAGTTCAAAGTCCAGGTAGAAATTGTTCTTCAATAGTGTCAAAGGATGAAAATCGCGCAAAAGCAAAGAGGATGAAAGAACTCTAAGACAGCCAGCCTTGGGTGCCTCTATGCCAATGCCTTCATGAACACTGATTTTAAAAATCCTCATACAGAGTTACTAGAGGCCCATATGACTGTTTCATGTAGGATGACTCCACCTCCAAAGCAGGACCTTTGAGAGTCCAACTCATGTCCTTTGCTTTGGTGTGACTTCTAGAGTTCTTGGTCTCCAGCTAAATCTTTTGCGTCTTAAGTACTAACTTTCAAAATTTGCCCTTGGGTCTAGCAAGATGGTCTGCAGGTAAAGGTACTAGGCACCAAGCCTGACAAGCCAAGTTCTATTCCTGAGACCCACATGGTGGAAGGACAGAGCCAACTCCTAAGAGTTTTCCTTTGACCTCCATACATGTACCATGTCACATGCACGTGTGCTCACCCAGACACACTCACTAATCACTAACTAAATAAAACAAAATAGGCAAGTTGCTTTTGATACTGCGTAACTGTTATTGCCAGGGCACATGTTGCATTGCATGGAGAGCAACAATATATGATCAAAGCCTAAAGGAAAGGCTCAGGGGTCACATAATGTGTTGATAACTTCTAAATTATGAGTTTCTAACTCAGCCAAATTGATTATAAATACGAAGCTTGCAATGAGAGCAGAACTGTGGGAATGAAGATACAGTATGCTTTTATTTTTTTACTACAACAGCATTTACTACTGTGATAAATTACCTGAAAAAAATGCCAGAAAGAAATTGAACTTCAGCATGATTTAATTGCACACAGTTGTTCTTTCTAAATTTCACTGTTTATACTTAGGGTGTCAATGGAAAGATCAAGCAGTGAACTGTTATCAGTTAAAAAGAAATAACAGGTCTTTCACCATGAACTCTTACACAGAATAAAGCAAATCAGTGTCATTAACTTTCACAGAGTGCTTTGTCTCATTTATGTATTTCAATGGTTAATTTAATCAAGTCATTTGAATGACATGTCCATGGACAATTTAAGAGCATCATTGTCCTCAATCAGTGTTTCCCTGTCAGTTAGTGTTCATCTACCTCAGTACACTTACTATTCTTGTGGGACTCTGGTACAACATGGATCTAAAGATTCGATGCATTCATATGCTTCTGACCATGGGTCTATGAGAGTAACCAGCACTCAGAAGAAAAGTCCAGCACACCAGTTGCAGGCCAAACTCAGATGGGGAGCTTTTTGAAATAGAAGAAACTTCAGGGTGACCATAAATAGTTCAGGATTATGTGTCCAGAATACCTTCAGGTCGGTTCCAATCTCCAAAAACTTTGAAATGTTTGAATTCATTATAAAGTCCCTATGCTTTGGAATTTGCCCATGAAGTCAAAGGGTCTGGCCCTAAGTCTTTTTTTTTTTTTTTTTTTTTTTTTTTTTTGGTTTTTCGAGACAGGGTTTCTTTGTGGCTTTGGAGGCTGTCCTGGAACTTGCTTGGTAGTCTAGGCTGGTCTCGAACTCACAGAGATCCACCTGCCTCTGCCTCCTGAGTGCTGGGATTAAAGGCGTGCGCCACCAACGCCCGGCTGGCCCTAAGTCTTTTAAGCTGGTATAAACCAGGGTCACTGCCATTATTAGGTGTTATAGCAGAGTTAAAAAAATAATGTAATGGGACTAGAGAGATTAGATAGCTCAATGGTTAGAACATTTGCCACTCAAACATGACGACTGGAGTTTGTATCCCCAGAACAAAAGAAAAAGGAATAATGGACAACGGCATTATACCCACTGGGGAAGGATGTCTGCGTTCTCATGGGCTATCATTCGTTAGCCTGAGAACCAGCAAATAAATGGTAAGATGGCACAAAGAAAACTGAAGTGTAGCTTTTGTACATCATCTTTTTCTTACCTTCATCTCCTACCCTACAGACTGAGCAGTCTAGAGGAATGGTCCATATTACAGTCACCAAAGGAAATGCGCATGATGGTAGAGGACATGGGGGCAGATGTACTGACAATGCAAGCAGAGAAGAGCTAGAAGGAAGGGGAGGTGCTGTCAGCTCCTCATGCTAGACCACAATGCAGTGCATCTTCCTTCTTGTCAGAGTCTTCAGTAGCAGATAAGGTCCACATGGGACAAATAACCCTACTTCAAAGACTATTGATCAGTGTCCCTCAGGGCCTTTTCTAGAAGTGAAAACTGTTATGTCCTTGAGCCTGTGATTTACATCCTTATTAGATAATGCACATGTGAATCTGTTTAAATTGGGTGCTGTCAGCAGTTTTATTTCCCCTTACCATTATTGGGTATCTACACTGTACCACATCAAGGACTGACAAACTTTCTCTGTAAAGGGCTAGGAAGTTTTAGGCTTTGTGAGTCATGCAATCTCTGTCATAACCAACATCTACCTACACAGTATAATAATCCATGGTCAATACCATGGTGGTGACAGGGGACCAATAAAACACAAACAAGTGCATTTGGACCGGGCATATGTCACCATTTACTGACCTCTGTGCTGGATCTGGAACCAGCTCTGGCATGGGTAATCCCAACTAATTTTAATAACCCTACACAGTTGGCTTCAATCATTTTAATTTTGCAGACAAATAAAACGAAGCCTGGGCCAGTGAGACAGCTCAGTGGATAAAGGTATTTGCTGCCAACTTGGATGAGCCAAGTTGGATACCTAAGAATCAGATGGTATGAGAAAAGAACTAACACCTGAAAGTTATCCTCTGGAACCCACATGCATGCTGTGGCACGTGCGCTCCCACACACATACATACAAATAAGTAATAAATGTAAAAATAATGAATAATACTGAAACACGAAAAACAATACTGAAGCACAAAGAAATTTAGAAGCATGTCCATAGTCTCATACTAACAAGTAGCAAAACCAAGACCCAAATCTTCACAGCCTCTATCCTGTTATAAAGGAGATTTCTGACTTTCCACAATCTATTTAAATGAAAAATTTTTAAATGCCATTTTTCATTCCAAAGTTGTCATGATATCATGCACACATGAAAAATGATGGAAATGCATATAATAGTAACAGAATGGCCTTGTGTCAGGGATGCCACTTTTAAGTGAACTTATATTTACTTTTGTCTAACCCAGCTATTCTCTGACATGCAGGTTCCTCAACCACTTCTTTCAATTTTAGCTTCTAAATCCTTATCTGCAATGTGTTCTCTGTGATGTGATGGGAAGAAGTGAGGTTGCCAAATGAATCCAGATCCTATTAGAAGCTAATACAGCAAGTGCTGGGCTGTGAATAATTTTCATGCCTCTTCTCTGGATTGGGTCGAGATATGTGAAATTGCTTTTTGTGAAGGTCAAACATGGCCATTTAATATGATTTACCACAAAATCAGAGTGCACAGACGCTGAGATAGACATTTTTCTGGTGTTCCTGAGATTGTGTTTTGTTCTGTTTCTCGTTATTAGCGGTGCTGCTGCTGATCAAGGCAGCAGAAGGTGAGGTATCAGTGAACTGGGCTGAGATAGAACATCCCCCCAGTGCACTGCATTCTACGATAGCAGGGTCAGAGGGTGAGAAGTGAGTCAGACAGACTGTCCATTGGTCAGCTGCCACCCACACAGGTCTTCCTGCTTTGCAAAATGTTGACTGTCCAAGAGCTTGTGCACAATTGCCACTTTAATCTTCCTGACTTCAGTGACACAAAGTCATCAGATTGGCTTAATGGGTCCACTGAATGATGAGTCAGTTGCTCAATGGGATGTTAACAGCCATAAGAAAGAACTGAGAAACCTTCCAAGAGCACTCAATGAAACACATCACACACTCATTTTAGCTCCAAGTGGAGAATAATTCTAAAAGGCTCTTTGTGAGCATACAGTATTTATAGTCCCAGAGGACTAGCCCAGTTTTATTTATGCTAAAATAAAAAGCAAAGCAGTTTTGTGACAGAGTAATATTAAAAAGCCATGAAGATGCATAGCCTCTAGATTCAAATGTTTAGGGGGTAAGCAATACAGATGGGAAGCAATACACTTTGTCATGATTGCTGAAGACAAGAAATCAGTATAGACGAAACTTTGAAATATACCAATAGAAACCTCAAAATAGAGCAAAGTAACCAGCAGAGATTAATAAAGAAAAGCAGAAGGCTTTATAAAACAATGGCAGAATTTATTTCCAAAGGAAGAGAAAAGATTTCGAACTTTATGAACGAGTTAAGTATTTTCATGGAAATGAGTAAAATGTACAAGCGAAGAAAAAATAAATGGGGAGGGGAAGATTTTAAGAGTCAGAGGCAGTGCATGTCTGTAGTGAAACTATTTTCTAGACATGATGGACCCTACACATGAATTCAAAGCATCTGTAACTTTGTGCATAAGACCTACACAAGATCAAGCTAGTCAAAATCCCATCATGGTACGAGGACAGGTCATGAAGTCCCACCCCTACTTCAGGGAGCTATTGGGAATTGAAGGCTGCTGAGGGTGGGTAAGTTAGTTTGCTTCAGGAATACAACCACTAAGAGGCTACTCATGTTCCAGAAGATGGTCCTACACCAATGTACATACAGGCAGCACACTAGGTGGAATTGGTGGGTTAAAAACAGAGACAGTACATAAAGGAATATTGGAAAGGAATAGTGAGGGAGAGGAGAGAAACTGAAATTGAAAAAAATGAAATGGATTCAGTCAAAACACGACTTTATAAATGAGTTTATAAACTCTCAAACAATATTTTAAAAAGACAATTAAATGTTTGGGGGGCTGGGGTAATGGTTCAGTTGGTAAAACCACTTGTTATTCAACCATGAGAATCTGAGTTCAAATCCCAGTCACCCACATAAAAATATATATGTGTGATCACTCATACCCATAACTCTCAGGGCGGGAGGTGTGTGCAGAAAGAGTCAGGTACCCTAGATGAAAACAGTGGTTTCAGATTGAGAGACACCCGGTCTCTACTGTCTCAAAGCAACGAGGGGAAAGTGATAGAACTGAATATTCAAGATCCTCCCCTGGCCTCTGCATGTGTGTGCATGGGTATGACACCTACACTTCTCTCTCTCTCTCTCTCTCTCTCTCTCTCTCTCTCTCTCTCTCTCTCTCACACACACACACACACACACACACACAGAGGAAGAAAGCAAAAAATTAAAAGTTTAAAATACCTTATTTTCCACCTGGACATTGTCACCTTCTCCAAGCACTGCTGTGTGATGGGGTTCTATCTTTTGTTGAGCATCATCAGGCCCTACAACAAAAGATGGACCCAGTTACTTCAGTAATTGTCATAGCTATCCAACGGCCACACTTTTGGTCAACTACTTAGGACCATAACATTCGTTTTAGTTTCAGAAATAACAGACTTAGGAAATCTTGAATTTCTGGGTTGTTTACATTTGCTATTACTAAAGGCTAAAATCCACTGGTATTCAATATAGAAAATAGCATGGAAGTGAATCCTGCATCATGTTACACTTAATGCCATCAACAAATGGTTTCACAGACTTTTTTTTGTTTTGTTTGTGTTTTTTGAGACAGAGTTTTTCTGTGTATCCATGGTTGTTCCGGAACTCACTCTGTAGACCAGGCTGGCCTTGAACTCACAGAGATTCACCCACCTCTGCCTCCCGAGTGTTGGGATTAAAAGCGTGTGCCACCATCACCCAGCTTTCATTGACTTTTAAAAGTTGTTGGAATTACATGTTCATGAAAGTGTTCTCTTGTATAAAATATCAACCTCTTAAGAAGTAACCAGACCTAAAAAAATGATCAAATGTCATCAGTAATTCATTTCAACAAGAATTTACTGAGCATCTCCAACTTTCAAGAACTAGAAAAAAAGCAAAGATGTGCAAAGTAGATTCCTTGCATCTAAGTAATTCTAAATGTTCTTGGGATGAACCAAATATAAGCACATGAATTATCAGAGAAGAATTCAACTGAAAACTAAATGAGTCAGATAGTAACTTATCGAATAATGAACAAGGTTTGATTCTAAACCCTCTGGAGGGGGTGCCTTCTAAACTCTCTAGGGGTGGGTACCTTCAGGATAGATAACTTTCCCTCCCTTCTATTCTAAGGCTTGCAGGTGAAATAAAGCTAGTCAACATTTAAAGGAAACAAAAAAGGTCTTTGAGAAATCAGAAGTCTTGGGGACTCATTCAGGTTGAAGTACCCTAAGCATTTGTTCATAGCTGTTCAGTGTGTAAGGATAGATCTTCAAGAAACAAAGCTTGGAAGAAGGTATTGCAGACAAGATGACAGAGTGTCACAGGCAGTGGGTGAAAATTTCTGGGGAAACTGTGAACCTCCTATCATAACTTTAACATTCTATTGGAAAGAAGGATGAAAACGTATCAAAGAAACCTTTCAAAATCATTCTTTTTTATTGACTAGTTAAGAGACTTGATTTTAATAGCTATAATTACAGTGCTTATCGAAATGAAAACTGAAAACAAGTATACAAAACAGTTGATTACTAATTGTGTACTGAAAGCAGTAAGAGGTTCTACAACACCAAATAAACCAGTTCTGAGATTTCCCCAAGATAAATTTAACAGCTCCAGCTTCTTCAGTGTTTATCAAAATACAAAACGAAAAAAGTAGAGGTCATCTTTTGATGGTAAATCGGACCCTTTCAGGCTGAGAGAGAAAGCTACTTCACACATGGAGATGGGGGTGCTCCAGGATATGGGTCTGGAATGGATCGACCCTCCCAGCTTGCACATGCTCCTGCTGGTGAGACCCAGGCCTCCTGCCAGCGCGTCCAAGTGGGCCCAAAAGTAAGCTGGGTATGTAGGATGCCATCTGGCCCGGCCACACACCAAATACAAGCCGGGCCCTGCACCCCACAATGACTCCCCAGCCAACCCCTAGGAGACCATGTGAGCACAAGTACAAGCACAGTGCTATAGAATGCAGGTGACTCAAAGACAGGCGAGTCACGGGGGCTCTACTGTGACCATGCAGTGGATGGTGGTCTGTCACCTTCTCTCCTGTTCCCACAGGGGAACAGGTGATCTGATGGACTAGCGTTCAGATCATTACTGCAAAACCTACACAAGGCATAGTTTCTTCTCTGTGTGTCCAAGTGCTCTTGTACGGTATTTTTAACTATTTTAAAAAATGCACTGAGTTTGGGTTAAAAACCAACTACCAAGTGGATACTCATACCAGTCTACAGCCCAATGGCTCCCAGAGGCCAGGTGCCCCTACACCCAAATCCCTATCTCAGCACTGATAGTGAGTTGATTCTCTTTTTACAATAAAAAAGCTAAGTACCAGAAACTTGCATAGGGGTACCAGAAACTGCTTCAGTGGAAACAGAAACTATCTACGTTAAACAAAAACCTGGCTGCAGGCTGCGTCTGCACATGTACAGCATGGTGAAATGCACACTGTGACCAACCCATGGAGACAGCTTCTGGAACTCAGGTCCACAGAGTCCCACGTTTGCTACATGAGAGGAAAGCAGAGGGCAGAGAAGAGAAAGTTAGGGGGAGGGAGGGGTCTCGTTAACTTATGGTTTCAGAGCTGATTGGACAGCTGGTCTAGTTCTTCATAGAGCCCATTCCCGCTTGTGGCACAGGTGGCCTGAATGTACCAGTTCCTGTGGAGTAGAGAGTGCAGCCCCAGCTTGTCTGTGATTTCGGCCTCATTCATGGCTTTGGGTAGGTCCTGCTTGTTGGCAAACACCAAGAGATCGGCATCACAGACCTCATCTTCAGCTAGCATCCTCACGAGCTTCACGGGCCTCATTCACACGCTCTCTGTCATTACTGTCAACTACGAAGATCAAGCGTTAGGTGTTTTAGAAGTAATGGCACCACAGCGGCCGGATAGTCTCGTGGCTGACCACATCCCACATGGTGCAGCTATTCTTGTACTCAACTGTCTCCACGTTGAAACCAATGGTGGGAATGGTGGTCACAATTTCGCCCAGCTTCAGTTTATATAGAATTATTATCTTCCCTGCAGCATTCAAGACCACCATGAGAATGTGCATTTCTTTTTTGCCAAACAGGCCCTTGAACAGGCTTGCAAAGATATTCCCCATGCTTGTGGACAGGTGGAAGTGGTACTGGCCAGAGACCTCTGCAGCGGCTGCTCCCAGTTAGGCCTTGGTTTTGCTCCCGCCTCAAAATCATTCTTATCCATACAAAGTGAGTGAATGAGCTACAGAGAGACAGAGACAGAGAGACAGAGAGAAGAGATAGAAATGCACAGGACAGGGACACAAAGAGAGACAAGAGAGATAAACACACACACACACACACACACACACACACACACACACACGGGGTGGGGAAATGACCAGATCCGCGTCTTGCAGAAATAACTTAGGCAGGAGAGCATAAAAGGAAGTGAAGGGCAAGTGTGAGCTTATGAAAACCTGTTGGGTGTTCTCTGAATGGGCTAAAGTGAAAATGTACAACAATGTGAACAGAGTGAAGAGAGAAAGAGTGGTTGGAGGAGGGAAGGAGGGCTGGAGGGAGTGGAGAAAGAAGTGAAGTCTGGCGTGCTCCTCAGTAGGAGAACAAGCATGGAGTGACCCAAGGACTGCAGCAGCAGTTCTACAAGAGGGCTCTGGACAACAGAGAGGTCAGAGTGGGCTAGATTAGCTACCCGAAGCTGTAGAGAAGAGCAAGATTTAGGCTGGGGCATTCAGATGGGTGCAAAAGCAACAGCCATGTGAACAGCTAACAGAAGGATGATCCCAGATCTTGTGCACCATTTCCTGCACAAGCGTGAGGACTTGAGTTCAAACCCCTATCATTCACACACAAAGCCAGGCAGTAAATGACCTTGTCTCAAGGGGATAGGGTAGGGAGTGACAGGACAGGTTCTCTTCTGACCCCCACAGACACATAGGTACATGCACAACATGTGCACATCTCTCACACACAAAGCAAGAAAAATCATAAACTTCACAGGAAAACTCAAAAATTACTAAGGAAGTGATTATCTAAATAAAACAATAACTTGGTGAATTATTATAGAAACAGAATCACAATTTGCAAATCTGGGGCATACTAGCATTCAATCAGTTGTATTTTCTAGAGAAGTCATCTTTCGGCCTATATTGTGTAGATAGGGGATCTATTCTATAGAGGGCATATGGCTTATACTGTTGCTGACAAACATGAAATAGGATTCTAAAGGAACAAGAGTTATGGTCCTGGAGTAGTGTTCCACGAAGTCCACAGCTAGAACTGAGTGTGACCTTGGATGGGAGGGAGACAAGTTACATATGCAGGTTCTCTACCAGCTAACTGAAATGCAGTCATAAAAGTAGCAAACAAACCACAGCAGTATTCGCTCTATTGATAGCTCTGTCTCCAAAGTCACAGATATTTTTATATCATTTCACAGTGCGGTGTATAACTCAAAATATAGTTTATGCTAGTTGTCACATATGATTAAAGAGCAGACTTGCTATTAAATCACAGAATTTCACATGCCAGTAGAGAAGTAAAGATGTAGTTGTATCATAAACTGGATCTTTAACCCTTTAATAATGTCACTGAGTTTAAAAACATTGTCTGAGGGATGCTTAACAGATGTAAAAAAAAGTCCACAGCAGAAAAAAATTAAAAATGCGTTTAATCACTGGTTTGGAGGACCATGGTGGCTGGAGAATAAACCCAATTTTGGTGTATAACAACTTCCCTGGTGAAAATCCTTCTAGCTTTGCCAATTCCAAAGATTCAGCAATAACTCAAGCATAATCACCCTCTCTGCACGTTAGCAAGAGCTACTCCCAAACACAACATCCATTCATCAAAGATATATGTCAGCAAATGTCACTGAATGAATAATAGAACTTCATTGACTTTCCACTTACACAGAGATCTGGCAAGAAAGTCTGGGAGTCCAAGAGGAATGTCATTTAGAGCTGGATAATATTTTAAACAGTGACAGGGAATGGCATTTTATTAGGTGTGGTTTACTGACATCCTCTGCAGACAATGAACCATTTTTCTATCTTCAACTAATTCGTATGTAACACCCAGTACCCACGTGATCCACTCCTGGACCCTGATTCTGTCATGTAGTATGTTTTGTGATACTTACTGTTTTAATAGAGTGAGCTGACAAGAGACAGCATTCAAAAATACTGCTGAATTGGTATTTCTCTGCACCCCATATCAGGGTAGTATGCTTGACAGCAGTGTTGATTGGCCTGCGAGGAAATCTTAATTTAGAAGCAGAGCCTAGCATGTCCAAAAGGCCCCTGAACCTGATTTG